AAGTGCAGCTTTCTGGTGGCTATTGACAAGATACAGTATAGGTACGTGTAGTTTTTGAATGACTGTGTACAGGCAATTTCCATTCAGCTGCGCAGAAATTGAAGAAACTTTTTTTGAGTGGTAAGACTTTGTCATTGCAGCACAGTTTCCGGTACAGGTACTATGTAGGCAATGTCATGTTTCCTACATATCAGACAATTCAAAGCATGATCAGCAGTTTGCTCTATTAATTGAAACTTGTTTCATTATTAAATCTTGGTTTGTTTTCAGTTATTCTTGTTTTTTCTGACTTTTATCTGGCAAGTTAGAGCTATAGATTCAGGCATGTTGGTTTTTAAAACATCCCCACATTTTTCTTCTGGTTGAAATTTGGATTTGTGCTAATATTACCCTCCCTCCCTCCCCCACTTCTACTCAACAGAAACTCCTACAATATGCCAGTGGCCTCAGTTTTCAGAAAGTTAATACAGTATAGATGCATACATGTACACTGTACATGCACTATACAGTATATAGTCCAAGTACTGTACATGTACATCAAATTCAAAAGGGGCTCTGCTGCTGATGTTATGTCAGCATAGTTTGTCTGTGTTGACAGATCTCTCTCCCCATGGTTTTATGAGGGAACCCTGGCAGCTGTTACCCACCAATTAGCAACAGGTCTCCCTGGTGGGTTTGTGGGCTAGACTGGCATGCTGGATTTCATTGAGAGGCAGGCCAGTCCCTGGCCAGTTCAGACTATATGTAAAGTCCCAGGTTGACCTCGACATGACCTTAAAAAGAAAAGTTGCTTACATGTAACTTCAAAAGGGAAACAATATGCTTAAAGTGTTACCCTAGTGCCAACTTGGATGTACATGTACATACTGTTCTTGCAGCCGAGCTGCTGTTTAAGCAGAACTGCTCTGAGCTTAGACCTTAATGCAGCTCAAAAGGGAATTACTGGTGGGCAACAGGCATGGTACACTGTGTACCGAATACGCCTGACTACTTCTCTGGTTATTTTGATTTAAGTGTAGTAGAGTATTTGTATAGAGATTGGCTTAGCAGCATTTTACTGCAGATCACCCCCAGTTACAGTACTTCTGCTAATAAACAATTGTCAATGTTTTGTGCATGTTATAGTACTTTGAACATTTTTTTTATTGATACTTTCAAGGTGAACAGCAATTTTTCTTTCAAGAATTTGGTTTTACGTTTGTCGGGGCTCATTATGAGCTGTGTTGAAAGTGCACCAGTGCTTGGGTTGTGTGTCTCTTCCATTCATCCACATCCACCAAACTGAAATCAAGACTGTTCATTCATAGGATGGAATAAAGGAAATTGTCAACTCTTTACTCATCAATAGTAAGCCCGTTATTTGGTGTGGGCAGCTCTGTGGTTTTGACTCAAAAAGGGAAATGTCTGGCTGTTCTCTTCAGGGGCTTAGCCCATTTGTTTGGTTGATTTTCTTTCTTTTCAATCTCCCCCAATGCTGTCTCCATCTCTTGCAACATTTCCACAAAGAGAAAGCACCCCTTGTGCCTACTTGATGGCGGATTTAACACACATCCCCGAGGGGATGGAAGATTAAAATCCCTGCAGTCGGCACATCACTCAAGGGAGGAGAAAACAAAGGGATTGGGCGCTCCACCAGTAGCCTTGGCTGGCAGGGTCTTCTGATCCATTCTCCTGGCCAAGAAAAATGGTGTTAAGGCAAGATTACCACAGGAGAATGACATTGAAAGGGTGTTAAAAGGGATTGGTGGAGAGCCATGTTTTTACAGTGGTCATTTTCCTTTCCTTTTCTTTTTATTGGGAGGGATTGTATCCTTTGCAATATGTGTAAGCGTTTAAGTCATAGGAACAAGTTACTGGAAGTTGTGCGGAAATGCAGTCCATCAGTGGAGTGGAAGAGCAGATTAAGATCAAACACATAAGAAGTTTGAGAAAGAAAGTTGAGCTGAAGCTTAGCTAGGAGTTGGATGTCGTCACTTTTCAGTTAGCATCATATTTACCATGACAAAAAGGCCACTGCTCTCAACTTATCTAGATGTCTAGATGTCTTTGCTGAGGTGCAAGCAAGTTACATGTACATACATGTATGTATGTGCTTCCAACAAGCCTCCTTGAAAAGAAAACTGTCCTATGTACATGTATCTATATCTGTTTCAGTCATATATTGTTTATTCTCTCTACTGTTGAACTTCCTCAACAGAGAGTCTTTATTTTTAAAGAAAGACTTTCCAGTACAACCTACATGTACATGTGTCCCCAATGGTATCCTACCACTCATGTGTTCTACTAATGGTGGAAAATGTCGAGAAAAATTCCTTTCCAATTTCTTTTTGAAGCCCAACTCCACACTGAAGTAGTTGCCAAGATCCAATATCTTCAACAGGGTATCGTTCAAAAAGTCACCGAACATTTTTTGGGGGGGGCCTGGCACGTTTACATGTATGTCCTTGCAGACAATCCAAGTAGTGTATTAGTCATCTAGTGCTAGAACTGTTCATGAAGGAATCATAAATATCTGTCACGTAAACTCCACAAACCCCTTCTTTCCTGCCAATGCTTCGCAGGTGCGAAGATGCCCTGTTGACACCACCAGAAGATATATCCCTCTCTGCCTTTGATTGACCTCTGACCCTCAGCTTGGCACTGCTCCTGGTGGTTGTCAGGCTAGGTTTGTCTGAATTTCAGTATTGAGTTTATACATGTACTTGCCTTCATTCTGTCGTTTCACAATGCACAATATAATTTGACAAGTGTATTAGTTGTACATGCAACATGATAACCTTGCAACCCTCCCTATAAAAATGCATTCCTCTGCAGAACAGCTAGCTGTTTGCATGATTGAAACAAATGATGACCAGCATTTGTTGTTAGCATTGTTTCTCTCTAAATAGGCATCAGCTTCGATTTCATTTAGTTAAAAAAAGTAACCTAAGTTAAAGATGACCAGGTAAAAAGTTTATCCCACCATTTCACATCTCATTGGAGAGAAAAAGGGAGTCACACCTCTCATAACGTGACTTAAGATGCTCAAAAGTTGCTTTTACCTCAAACCTCCAAGCCTGTACTCCATTCATAAGATACAGGCAGAGTTGTGTGAACTATAGCCTGTCTTTTGACCAAATGGAGGAAAAAAAGGTTTAAAATAAGTTGTGGTATGTACCAGTAGACTCAGGGTCATCCTACCAATGGATTGTAAAAGACAGGATACTCCAAATTCCTCAGCCCTTTCTGATTTCCAGTCACAGGACAGAGAGTAGGCGTTATTCCAGTCCCAGTTCAGCACCGAAAAAAAGGAACCCCAACCTACAATTGTATTCTCTTAAGACCTTCCATTCTACCATCTACTATATCAGCAGCAGGGTGGCAAAGGGTGACTCTAGCTGGGCCGGAGGAGGAGGCCTCTTGAACTGTTTGTTTCAAAAGATTTTTCTGCTTCCTTTCTTTCTTTTTTCATTCCCTAACATTCCACTAAAGGGTCATCAGACGCAAGTAGGAGTTTCAAAAAGTGTACCACTTTACCGCCCATTGTCCATATAGGATCAGAGTTTTACCTGGATGTATCAGTATAGTTTCTGCAGACTCATGCAGGTAAAGGCGGGACCACAGGGCAACATTTCGAGCATTCATGGCAGAGGAGCATTTTGGGTTGGTGGTAGAAGTGGATTCGATCGGTACAACACTGTTGAGGATGTGCATGTATATTTTGCCCTTTCTTTCATGAGGAAATTTAAACAGTAGAGGCCAAACCGTATGGCGCCTCAGAAGAGTGTTCCTGGAAGAAGACTGTCCCTCAAAGATGGTGTCTCCATGGTTAACTCCCCGTAATCATAAATCCACTTCATGTACATGTACATGTATATCTGGAATGCACTGATGGTCCTCAGCGCCAACAGTCCGACAACCTGTCCTGCTTTGTCCAGTTTGGTTTGAAACCCCCACAGACATCTGCCAAGCAAAATTCCAGCCAGAGGCTTGAAGAGACAGACATCCATAAACAGAGTTATCACTGTTTATACAGACAGCAAGGGATAGGTTAGCTGATCAGCAAAAGCATAGCGCTGAAATCTTTTATGACCTCGGGAAGGACTCAGTGTGCACAGGAAAAGGTTCCAAATTCACTCTGCCAGACAGTTTAATAAAAATAGTTGGTTTCAGGATTAATTTTGATTTGAAGCGTAATGGTCAGTACATGTAAGTGTCAAGAATGAAGTACTGGGCTAGCGTGTGGTGTCGTCTCTCCATTTATCTTTGCCTTCGTTGTTGGTATGACCGGGTTTACAATGTAAAGGGCCTCCGTATCCCAGAGTTGACTGGTTGATATTGCTGCCGCAGTACATTTTCTTCAACTGCTTTAAAGAGAATTGGACTCTTCTGTGCAACCCATCCTCGGCATGCTGAACTGTGCAAACGCATCTGCTTGGACTTGGCAAGACTTTCTTCTCTTGTCACTCATTCATAGTGGTAGTCTTGGCTTCACCCTGTATGGAAATACAGATGAGGAGACTTGAAGTGCTTGAATGCAGCAGTCATAACAATCCAATTTGAAATCAAGAGCCACTCAAGAATACCGTACTTATAGACGACTAGTAAAGAATTGCCTAGGAGAACACTCCGTAGACCCAATGTCTCTGAGTGAATCAAGTCAAGAGGTCCAGAAAATCAAGAGACGAAATATGTGTCTTGATATGTGCAGTTCTCATTTACGTTCACATACTTGAAGTACTAGATCCTCTATCTGTTGGGGTAATTCGGGCAGCCGCCCATTTCTGAGAATACAGCATATTGAAGCAGTCAAAGGTTCTCAAGTGTGTGTGCATGTAAATGTACCGGTATGTACATGTACGTATGAGTACATGTACCTGGGTTCTACCCGTAGTTATGTTGTACGTTTTACTCCACCAAAATGTGGGTCAAATGCCTTTGTAGAGTACTTTTTCAGAGTCGCAGGGTGCATGCACTCAGCAAGACACATTCAATTTTCTGTCTTTGTGTGTTCGCTGCAGAGGTTTAAGGCGCTCGCCAATCGGAGGAGATCAGCACCAACTGTAGCTCTCAAGACAGCACTCGGAGGGAAGAAATTGTAAGTCTATAATTATATTTTATATCCACCTTTCCTTCCATTCAAACTTGTTACCTACTTGAAATTTAGTTCTTCCTCATTGTTAATTTTTTTCAGTGCAGTTTTTCTGAATTCTTCACCCCAGTCCCAGATTTCCTCTTCAAATGTTGGCAAAATTCCAAAATATTTTAATATCATGTTGCTTTTGAGTGATTTCAGCAATTAATGGATGGCATTACTGGTTTCAAGGTTTTTGAAACAGAATTTGGGAGGGAAACAAGCAACCAGATAGCCTTGAATTGTATGTGCATTGGATTTTGTGTTTCATATTTTTTCTTCTGAAGGCACCTGCATTAAAGTCAGGAATGCTTGCCCAACTCTTGTCAGGGTCGTTCATTGCCTCCTGCAGTCCAGCAGGGTGCCAATCCCTTAAGTGTCAGGACAGATTGGTCCTGTTGCATTCACACCGGATCTGTCATTTGTTATTTTCTTGATGGTCTTCAGGGCTTTCTTTCTGTTTCAAGGTTTTCTTCTTGGGTAGGAGGAGAGTACTGCATGTGGGTTGATCACAGAGAATTGGAAACATTTCATTTGTTGAGCCCTTTTTTTTTCTTTTTGGCTTTATGCCAATGCTGCTTATTCCAACCCTATCAGTTTGTTAGAGGCAGTGCAGAAATGGTTTAGAAAGCAGAGTCAAACAAACAAGAGCCAGCAAAGTAGCCAAACCACAGCCTTGTCTGAATACACCAGCTGCAGCTTGGTTGGAGTATACATGTATATGTACTTGTATGGGCTTGCAGAGGTCCATTTGTTATTTCAAGCCGCAGCCTAGGACACTGCCCATCACATTTTTGATGTTCTGTCTTTTTCAATGCTTTAATTTGCATTCACTGCCAGCTCTTGCAAAGTGCTTATTCTGTCTTCACTTGCTTGCCGCATATCCAGAGTTTCATCTGGAATTGAAATACATGTACATGTATCTTCCTGTCCCTTCCAAACCAAACTTAAAAACTACATGTAGCTGTCTCCTCTCAAAAAATCTGTTGACCCCCCTGGGTGCCAGCTAAGGTCATATTTCCAAAGTATCCAGACAAAAATTTGGAAGATGTGAAGACTTGTTAACCACTGTTAAAGATCTACAATGTCTGTAAGAAAGGGGGGTTGTAAATTTTGAAGAAGCAAAAGTTGCCTGTCTGTATTTGTTTCTGCCTGTCCCCAGAACTGGTGGACAGGTGGCAACATGTATGTATGTAAATGACACTCTGTCCAAATGTCCTTTTTAGGTGTATGTGCATTGATCAACACTTCATGGATTTTTCCCCCCCCTAGAAAATCTGGGGTCAGTGGAGTCGAGAACAAATACTTTTTGCAACAAATTGTTAAGTGAAATTTGGAAGATGCACCCAGCTCTGAAATATGATGGCTGGAGATGTTTGAGTTGGGAGATGAAAAATCACTCCTTTGTCAATTTGTTTACCCCGCTAATGGGGATTGAGTATGTTTGAGGGATTGCTTCCGCCTCGTTAATTTATGAACAAGCAAAGACCAGTTGTGGCATATCCTCTTTTTGGTAATATATGGGGTTGGAGACAGTTGGGAAAAACCAAAAATGGAAAATTAGTCACCACTTTATCAATGACATTATTGAATTAGCTGGTACTTTGACACCATTAGTGGGGGGGTTTTGATAACGGATACCAGTTTACAAGTTTAGTATTGTAATTTGATATGGATAAATACCGCTCTAGTTGATTATTCCAACAGTAGGGCTGTCTATGTGTCAAGAGGTTTTTAAAAATAGATTAAGAGGACGTGTGAGGACTGGACTGTTAAAGTGCATGGTCTGTGTGGTGATTTTCTCCATGTGTTTGCAGAGCACTGCATTGAGTTTTAAAAAAGGGATAGGCTTAAGCTGTACTTAATGGTACTGGTGTTTTTTCGGCACTCTCTTGCTTTAGTTTCACAAAAAAATTTGTCAATTTGGACCGTGTGAAAGGGTGCTCATCACTATCGATCAAACACAGCTTCAACCTGCCTTAGAAAGAGTGTGGGCATATAAATGTACATGTAGAAAGGTGGTTGTTTTGTGTTTATTCATTTGAGTGAATTTGTTGGCTCTGGATTACTCAAGTTTTTGTCATGCCGTGCAATATTCACAGCCTCATTGTACTTGCAACTTGTAAGACCCAGCAGCTTTACATTTCTCCAGTTCAGTTTTTGTTGGACAGCATCACCAGTCCAAATCAGTTGAGCAACATTTGGTAATGAGTCCTTCTGGTATTATGGACTGAAAAGACCACATCACACGAGGGCGCTATCATTACTCACCAGCAAAAACTTTATAAAATTCCACAGGACTTGACTCCTTAGAGAAGAAGTGGGCCGTAAACCAAATAAACTTTGCAGTTGTTTTGTAAACAGTCACAAACTTTATTTGTTGGTGAAACTCCAGCTTACAATCCTCTCCTCTGTCTTTTCCTGTGGGATTTTTTTCAGTGTTTGAAACATGCCAGTGGGAGGAATTTCTTCACAGGTTGTGTCAGCAATCATTAGTTAGAAAATACCAGTATATCATTGAGCTTTATGTATACACACTGCCACAGAGATCCCCAGATATGACTTGGGGGTATGAGATTGTCCCTTTGGAGTCACAGAATTTTATGTTCTGTCTTGCAATCCTATGGTATCTCTGTGATATTTGATACAGCTTTCTGTCATTTTCAGCTGGAAGATAGAGGATCTTGTGTAAGGCCAGGTTTGTGTAACCATCTGGGTGTGTGGGCTACATGTTCCCTAGTAATAGCTCAGTTTAGTCTGGCTGCTTAGGGAAGTTGGAAAACACCTCCTGTTTAGCAAGTTTGGATACTGGTACTCTACCTGTCCCCAGGCCACCAAAAAGGCCCATAGACAGTTTGTTTTTCAAGCAGAGGAAGGTTTTACAGGGACCAGTTCTCAGCTTTTTAGCTGATTTCATCTTTTTTGTTTTGGATTTCAGCTTTTTCCCCACACTGGCTGTGTACAAAAGTACATGTATAGGAGATTTTCACAGTTCAGCTTCTATATGCCTTTTTTTTTCAGCTATTTTTATTGTTGGTCAATCTCATCCCTGAGATAAAAAGTGGTGGATTAGTGGTGGCAGAAGTTTAAAAAGGGCCCTGCTGTATGGGATGGATGCCATAGATTGATAGAGGATAGTCTGACAATTTGGATGCATTATTCCATAGAGACATGTTCTCGTCAGGTTATACATGTGCATGTGCATGTGTACAGTATATTTATGTACATGTACATGCCTATCCGTGGTGGAAAAAAGCTATATTTTTGCAGCTTTCTGAACTGGGTACCATAGCAGAGGACTTAATCCATTGAATCACCCATATGCATGCATTAGTACGTTATCAAGACAGGCCAAAAGTGCCATCTAATCAGCTTCAACATGTACATGTACACGCAACACGCATGCCATGTGACCAAGGTCCATCTTGTCCAAACTTGCCCTGGATGTTTTGTGTTTGTTATCAGCCGAACTCTTCAAGGTTGCTGGTCAGTTTTGGGGGGAAAGAAATTGCCAATTGTACACCACCATTTGCACACGTGCCTGTACGTGCACCGTATATTGGTATCTGAGTTAGTGTGGCCAGCTTTACAACAGATAAACGGCCAGCCATTACACATCAACTTGGAATGAACTTTAAGGCATGCCACCCCCCACCCTCTCGGTTCTCTTTGTTGATGTTTTAAAGCCTTTTCTTCTAAAAATTTATGACATAGTTGGTCACGACCTTGTTTTGAGAGGTAACATTTTTTGGTTCACCAGGGTCAACACAATCCTTTTAATCTATTTACTGCAGAGCCCCAACTGGCATATCTTCTGTGCACATGATATTCAAAGTGTTAGCTAAATTTGTAAGCAAATCTTTTTTTTATGAACCGGTAGGTGTTGTGCAAAGTTTTTTCTCACAGATTGATCAGTTTTTATAGCCAAATTTATACATGCACATTGGTAACAGTGGCAATTGGGAGCTTGAAAGATATACACTGTACTTGTAGTTGTTTTTCGAATTCAAAGCCTTCTTCAAGAATTGGCCTTTGTGATAGGCAGTTTTATCAGTAATTGTCTGCATTCACAGATAAGTGAGTTGCATTTGGCGGTTAATTTTTGTTAATTCAGACATTTTAGGATTGAGAAGAAATCTGGCATGCAAAGTTTACTTTGGCATAGACTAGACTCTTATCAATTATTGCACTAATTTTGATGTGTATTGTGCCTTACAAAGTTTCAAGAAGTATTGGGCCCCTGCCAAAATGATAATGTAATATCACCTTCATTGGAGAATCAGCACCAGTATTGGTCAAAATCCCCCGGTGGTGGTGCAAAGTGACAGAGATAAATTGGCCGTTTTTTTCCCACTTTGTTTCCGCTTCACGTATTATCCACTGCCTGGGCAACAGACAACGTGTGGTTGGTCGAGAATCCCACCAATGGCGAGATTCTTCTGCTAAGAAGGAGTGAAAAAGAAAACAAAAGCCGATGGACCTTGATCAGTGTTCTCACCTGCATTGTTTTGTTCCCTTCCCCTCCATATGCGGGGCGGTACTCTAACTGCACCGGAGAAACTGCACTGTGTAAAGTTGGGCTTTTATTGTCTTGTTTCCTTGTGTCAACCGTGCGGCCCGGGCCAGAGATGTGTGAATTGGATGTGGAACAAACTCTGCAAATCAACAATCAAAAGGCAGATTTTTATATATATAGTAGCTGCTAATGGTGCAATTGGGTCGAGAATGAAGTTGTGTCCTTGTCAATATGCACATACCGTACGGCGCAGGATGGTGGCAATCTATTGTGCTTGAACGAGTTGCACTATGAATACCAGTAGGCCCAGAAATGCTTTTAATGTTGGGAGTTCAAGACAAACCACGTAGGCCTTCTCCAGACCAAGTTTAGCTCCGATCTCATTTGCTGTGGACAGTTGTGACCTCACCAGCAGAGTTTTTTATGCCTTTAGAGCATCACTGCTACAAAGTCAGGTTGAATGAGAGTTTGTCGATCTGGACTCTGGAGTTGTCATAGTGCAAGAGTCATCATGTCTTGGGGTGAACTGAAAATTTGCACTGTGATTCCTGACTTTAGTTCACCTTTTTTCATTGGCCTCACCTGGTGAATTACGAAGTCATCGTTTTCCAAGAGGTCATTGTTTCAGCTCTTGAGCATCACCTTTTCTCCAGAAACTTTTGTGTCAATTTGTCACTTTTGGTTTCAACACGTCGAATAAAGACATTTGGTCGTGATGTCTACATCAGAGTCTCCAGATAATGGCAGTGCAGGGTAAGTTTTTGTTTTGGTCAGACAGGATCTCTGCTTTCCAACTGGATAACTACAAGAGTGTATCGTGATAAATTTCAGTTATCGATGCAGCGTGCCAGCATCATTCTCATCCAACATGAGGTCAAGAATGGCTGGTTTTTAATGGGATGTTACACCTGCACAAGTGCACCATGGCAAGATGTTGACTATTTAGGCCAACCTCCCAACCTATTACCTGGGACTGATGCTCTCATCACAACTGGCCCCTCCCCACATTGGAAGTCAGTCTGCAGCCATTTGTCATTAGGCTGAAGGCCAACAGCCAAAGATTCAAGCCTTCATTTCCTCTTTCCCTCCCCCCAACTAAAAATAACCCCTTAATATACTCTTCTGAATTTTTTGGTTATTTTTCGTTTTTGTTTTTCATTAGGCCCAGTGGTTCCCCCTCGCCTGGTGACCTTGCGGTTCCCACGGACAGCAATGCACTGAGCAGCAGCAACAACAACCGTGTGTATGTCATGGAGGGTGCCATCCAAGTGACTGGAGGGGACCAGGCCCAGAGCCGCTACGTTTTCCTCTTCAATGACGTCCTCATCGTCGCCAAACCAAAGTAAGGATCTGTGTCATGTCCAAGAAGGTTGTTTTTGTTGGGGCACGGAACGCAGGCAGCATATCAGTTGTCTGTTTTCTTTTTATTTGATTAAAACAAAAATCGCTGTCTCAGAAAGTATTCACTTTGTATGGACTGGAGATCTCCATTCTACAAAAAGAGATGAAGAAATTTTTATTTTTGCCATACCTTCAGACCTAAATAGATTTGTCATCCATAGTATTTTTAGGGACTTTTACATGATTCCTCAAATATGTCAAATATCCCAGCTTGAGGATAATACGTGATTAACTGCTCTGTCCATTGCAAAGTGCTTCCTTGTAGATACCCAAAGTGCAGTGCATCATGGGAATAAGTTTTAGGAGAACTGAGAGATTGATGGAGGATTTTTCTGATCATCACACAGCAAATCTTGCTCGACATTCCGTGTCAAGCACCGCATCAGGGTCAGCGAGCTGTGGCTGGCGACCTGCATCAACGATGTGATTGAACTTAACAAACCAGCGGATCGGTCCTTTGTAGTAGGCTGGCCGGTCACAAACACCGTCTGGACCTTCAGCTCGCCCGAGGAGAAGGAACTCTGGTGGCAGGCCTTGCAAAAGTAAGTGTTGCACTTGGAGAGTCACACCCCCCCCCCTTAAATTTAGCCCCTTCTTCCCCAATATATCTAAATTCAACTCCTCAGGGAACTCTGGCACACCATTTATTGGTCACTGATCAGTTTTCCCTGGTAACATGTGGGCAAAATAAATCCTGGGTACCACGCAGAATCAACTGGTGGTTGAGAAATGGTAATCACTTAAACTTCCCTTGTTTTGGGTTTTGGTGTTTACTGTATCTTGAAAGATTCAGGACTAGGCAGTCTGGCCACAGTGACATCTTACATGGAGTTTCATGCCCCAGTATTTTTTTATTCACAGAAGAAGCACCACATGATGTTACACTGTTGGATTTTGTTTTGATTCGGGAACTTCTGGGCAAAAATGTAATCTCAAACTGTGAAATTTAGTTTCCTTTTTTTTCTCTCTCTTTCTTTTTTCTTTTTGTTTTTTTGGGGGGTGTTGGATTGTAATATCTGCGATTTGAAAATCAAAATTTATGGCACTTTTGGGCATAAATAAACTTAAAGGGCAGCATTTTGATGAAATTTCAACATCAGGTATACTGGAGGAAACATCTGGAAAAAATCCAACCCTGTAAATAATTGGAGGAAAATTTGTTAAAATGTCATGTTGATAAGAAATTCTTGGGAATTCTTTTGAGAGGCCTTGTCACATTCTTGTGCTATCTCAAGGTGTGTTTGTCATTACATTTTTCAGTTTTTTTATGAGATGACTACATTTCATTTGTCTAGACAACTTTCCATGATGGATGGTGCTTCATTAAAACATGAAATAAATATGTGCTGATACCATGTAATGTAACTCAAGATTGTCAGACCTCAGACTTGACAAACATGGGGGTGGCCTTTCCGGCTGTGAGAAAGTGGATGAGAGTGTAATTGCTAGCAATGAGCATTTGCCATAATGCAAAGTCATCGGATCCCATTGCATATAGGAGATTCTAATAGCAAGAGAAAAAAATATCTTTCTTTAAATTGTTTCTGTCAAAGTGAAAGTCTGAAGTTTTGGGTTGACCCAGTATATGGACAACATTTCCTTTCCTGTCTTGTTATATTTCTCTTTGTTTTATTTGTGGAGTTTCTTCTTAAAAGTTCTTTAATACTCCAATTCTCTCACATGGTTTTTAACGCGGTTAGTCCCATGAACTGTTCTCTCAAAAGTGTTGTGCATACATGTACATGTACGTGCAAAGCTGTTAAAAGCTGTTCATTTGCAGTGTTATGAAAAGACATGTCAGCTGCCACCACACCCCTTTTGTCACAGGTTATCATTAGATAATAGTAGCAACATCTGACAGTACTAGATGAGTGTGAAAGGAAAAAAAGAAAGAGCCAGTCAGTTCAGGCAATGATTAATTCCAGCTTATCCAATGTATAGTATGCCATGCATGTGGGTTCCAGTCAGTCACCTTTATCACAGGTATCATCCCTGACACTCATTCCCGCATCACCTTGTCACTAACCTTTGCTCTGTTAGTTTGGATTTTTTTGTAAGTAATACCGCTGATCACAGAAGGTCCCTTTCTTCAAAGTGTTGTTCTATTCCGAAGTGATTGATGTGTCTGCATAGTTGATCCTGTAATAGTGCTGTGCCACTCTTTTTTTTTTGGCAATACTCCGCAACATTGTTAACACTTGAGGTAAATTTAGGTGTACATCAGTAAAGTGCTTGCTAGAAGTGTCACAGGATGTGAGCTATCACATTTGACTACTTAGCTGGGTGCAAAATCGGGTCATTTAAAAGTGTCAAGGGAAGGAATGAGGGAACAAAATTCAGAGCTGAATGGAAACATTGCGCACAGCTTCGTTATCAGTGTTATGACTTGTTCATCATTGGTATTAGAAGAATGACAAAGACCTGCTCTCTTCTACAAACAACTTGAATCAACTTGCAGCAGAGTTGGCTGTGTCCCTTTATGTATCTGAATATTTCTGCACCCAAAAGAACTTCTCTTGTGGCCAAATTCAGAAGGTGGTGGAGGAAAGGATATGCGTGCTTGAACCTATTTCTCACTTCAAACAATTTCTGGCTTCATTTGACTTCCATCCTTATGCTCACCCCTCTTGTTCTCTGACTCTCAGCAGTTGGTCATTGGGCAGCCTCCAGCATTTCCTTTGAAGGTTACTGGCTGGAAGTTTGCCACAGCTTTTTCAAACCAGAGGCCTAGGACTGTTTAAAATTTTATTCTCAACACCTCCTTTCTACTTTTATAGCTTAATTATTGCCATAAATGTCTCACCAGGTGCGATTTATGTGGCCAGATTTTCCTACCTCAAGGATTTTCTTACTTCAGTGGAGTAAATTACCACTGGTGGTACTTTTCCCAGGGGGTTCAGGCTTTTAACCACAAATTGGTTCCCAAGAATATGGTCCCCAGGAATCCTGCAAAGAGGAAGAGAAAATGCCTCTTTGTTATTGGTGATAGTGGCTGATCTGTAAGACCCTGTCTGAGGTCTGTTGGTTTGCCCCTGGTAGCATTTTATTTTCAGTGATAAAAATTAGTCTGACAAAGTTTGACAGTTTATGGCGACCCTGATGCTTAGGTTTTGCTCGATGACCTAGTTTGAAATATGAGGTCAACTCTCAGGTCTTCCCATGTTGTAAATGGCATCCTGATTTATCTCAACCGTGCATTGCACATGCATGTCTGCGGTCCAAGGCTTGCTGAAATTTTCTGTGAATGAAGTTGTGCTGTATTTATGGGGAGTTAGTGTCCTGAGGTGCTGAAATAAGCATGCTACATCCAAGCTCAAACCACCTCCACAAGGACTGGATTGGTTTGCAGCTGGCTGGGTTGGTGTTGAAGAGCAAAACTATTTTTTTTTTTCATAAATAGGCAGCATGAGTTCTAATGTCAGATTATTACTGCAGGCTAGTGTGGTTTGTCCCACACGTCTCTGGTGTACCTTGATTGAAATATCCAGACTGAAGACGGTCTAATTTTGTGAGAAGCGCAAACGCCTGTACTTGTGAACTGCTGATTTTAAAAATTGTCTGTAGTTCACGGCTTGACATCACAGCTTTGACAGAATACCAGTACATTTGATTAAGTCCCTCGCAATACTCTAAAACCAACAGGAATATCACTGTCCAGCGCGAACGGGAGGAACCCAAGACGGTCAACCTGAAGGTCCTTAACCGGGAGTCGCGCGGCTCGGGGTCGGTCCACAGGACTGTCCAGGTGGGCAACACTGAGACTGTTGATGAGACACTGAGGACCTGCCTGCAGCATTTCCAGCTGGACGACGCCCAGCCCGAGGACTACGGTCTTTGGGTGCAGTCAGGCAAAGACTCACTGGCGTATCCGCTGATCGGTGAGTATGATACGGTGGGGGCCCAGCATCTGTGGGAACTGTCCCAAGAGGAGTTTCTCAGACTGTTTCAAAGCATTTGATTGCTGTCTCCTACAGCTTCCAAACTGCTCTTCAGTGTTAACATTTTGTATATCCACCAGTGAAGAATTCCCAAAAAATGCAAGGGAAATTTAATGTATCTACTCGTATGCAACTTATACTCTTACGCTTTGGTTGCGTAGATGCATTATCTCTAATTCTGAAAATTTCAAAAGTAAAATCTATCAAATTTGGTAACAGTTGGTACATACTTCAGGTGAAAGTGAAGCAAATTTGAATTCACAAAATGTTAGCTGTGAAGTTGGCTTGACTTGAAATGTGTTCAACTTTTGCAGTGCCAGTATTTGAGCCGTTGTCACAATACCTCATTTATTGTTGTTTTCGCATCAAGTAGGATCTGGTCTTGGGCGTTTTTTCCTCTGACACGTTTCATTCCACCTTCCACCCCCCTTCCAGGCCATGAGATCCCCTATGCCATCAAAATGAGCCATCTCCATGACGCTCTGTCCAAGAACAGCTATGGGGACCTTCTGTTGCCTGGGGAAGACGAGGCCACTGCCTCAGCTGCCATCGACGATGCCTCCTTCAAACAGCATCGGTGCCAGTTTTTCCTACGGCGGAAAGGCGAGAGCCGCCTTGGCATCAGTGTCGGTAAGCCAGTCACCCGGTGGTGCTTGCTGTCTGTTTTGTGGTCCAACGCAACCGGTGTGCTGTGTTACTTTCATGTGGCGTGTTTTTTAAAGTACTGTCCAAATGAACAACTGTACTGAATGACTGACTAATGTTTTCCTTACAGACACTTCAGTGTTCCCAACGCAAAACAAACGGCTGAAGAAAGCCCGCAAGACCCACTTCAAACTGTCCTTTAAGAAGAGCATCTCGGTCAAAGGGGACTTGCCCGATGCCTTCTCACCTCCCCTCTCGCCAAACTCCCAGTAAGTCATCCTGGAAAAGACCTGTTCTTTCAGAACTACTGCATTCTCAATGCCCCCATCGCTATCATGGCAGGGGGCTTCCTTTTCATTGCACAATATTTTTTTTTTTTCAGTAAAGCCGTAAATTTCCACCCTGTCCATTAAAGTTTGCTTGCCAGCATTGCCTGATTAGTTGAATGCATCCTTCTTGAATATAGTTTAAAATAGATGTGTAAATAAGTCTGATATGTTGTGTTGCCTATGGAGATACTGCTGTTTTACCAGTGTTCACTGTCTGTTCCCCCTCCAGGTTATTTGGCATTCCCCTGCCTGTCCTCTGCCAGGACAGTGCCCTGCCAGGCCCCTTACTGGACCTGTTGACTTCCCTTTACCACAACGGGCCCTTCACCACGGGCATCTTCCGCAAATCAGCCAACGCCCGGGTGACCCGTGAGCTGAAGGCCAAGCTGTGTGCCGGCGAGAGCGTTATGTTCGAAGAGGTGCCCATCACAGTGGCCGCTGCCCTCCTCAAGGACTTCTTGCGCAATGTGCCCAACGGCGTCATGTACAACGTACTGTATGAGAACTGGGTCAACACCAACAATGTTGAAGGGACGGAGCAGCGGATTTGCGCCATCAAATCGTAAGTTGACGCAGATCAGGACTCTTCAAAGAAACTGCACATTCTTCCTTTAGTACTTGTTGCAATGTTGTAGTCAAGCTCATCACAGATTCTGGAAGCCCATCACAAGCCCTGTCAGTTGCAAATCAAGTCACAAGCAATTGAAATCAACTATGACACAAGTATTTCTTTGCCGTTATTCATCCTGTCAGTAGTTGCAGGACTTGTGAAAAGGACTTGAGAAAAGATCTGTGCCAGACTTGACTACGTGGTGGACCCTCTGCCAAGACCACCCTAAAGGCTGACTTTTTTGTTTCAGGGTTTTAGGCAAACTTCCATATGTGCCCTCTGATATCCCTGTTTATGAAAGATAAACCTGGGTAAAAATCATACTGCATAAATAAGAATTGAAAGTCCACACAAGAACATTGTCAAGATCTAATTTTCTTGTGGTCGCATCATGATATCAATTTGAAATATTTTCTGTGTTCCCCTCTCCCCTTCTCAGGGTTGTGAATGACATGCCTGCAAGCCATTGCAACCTGTTGCGCCACCTGATGTGTATCATGTACCACATCAGTCAACGCAGCGACGAGAATAACATGAACGCCTATAACCAGGCTGTCTGTTGCTCCCCAAGTATGCTGTGGGCGCCCAGCTCAAGTGGATCGATGGCACAGGTCGGTAGAACTTAATCCCTTTGGTGATAGCAGAAGAAATCTGAGCTGTCGCAAATTGCTCCTTGTGATTGCCATATTATCTTCTTAGCCTGCACAGTTTGTAATCCAGGTGTTACACCTTTCACTCAAGAGTGCACAGTGGCCATAAGTCACAGTTGCAAAGGTGCCCTGCTCATAGGCACCATGGTTGACCTGACTTGTTGCTTCTTTTGAAGCCAAAGCTTAAATATTTGTCTGCGACAACAAGCACTTTTTGTTCAGCCATGTCCCATGAGGAATTTTTTTTTCCATGGCTAAGGTTTGTTATCGCAGTGATGGCAAAAAGCAGAACTATAGCCACAGATTGACATAAATAAAAAGTGGCTCAGTAGTTTATTGAGTGATTAGTGTCTTTCTTGCACATATGTACAAGGGAGTTTGGATTAAATTTCTTTAGTTTGAAATACCTGCTGTATTTATTTTTCTGTAGTTGAAGTTTCAGTCATTCTTATCAACCCTTTCTCTTTGGGCTTCTTTATACAGGTTCAAGCAACTGAGAAGGTCCCACAGATTGTCCAGTTCATGGTCAACAATGCCCCTGAGATCTTTGGTGTAGACCTCCTTGATTTGTTTGGAGGACCTCCTATTAAGAGACCAGAGCCTAATCGACGCGACTCAAGTGGTGATTCAGACAGCTTTCATGGCTCAGGAGAGGCAGGCGGAATGAAGCGCGATGATTCCTCCCTTGACAGCATAGATCGAGAACTGTCGGGCAACGAGGGCTGGCCCAGCACCCTGCCTGTTCTGTCCCCGTCCACGCTAAGCCGGGACTCTGTGCTCACATCCAGCGACAATCAGCTGTACCCCGAGTCAGACACAACAGACACCACTGACTCAGGTGTAGATGCTAAGGACCGATTGGGATGCAGCAGCAGCCCAGGCCCCACAGTGCCTGGCATAAAGCACACACGGAGTTCATCGTCTATTGAGAAAGGAGAGGGGAATTACGTAGAGCCAGCATACTTGCGACCCGAGGTGGCCTACGTGAGGAGGGTGTCAGAACCCGACACCAGTATGCCCAGAAAACGCTATGTCCTGACCAAGTCCCATTCTGCCATGCACTCTGAGGACAACAGCCCTGAGGGTTCAGACAATGAGGTAGAACTGAGTGAGGATACCGTCCGGATGATCCGAGAACTGAGCGAAGAGTGCAGCTTCAAGCTCTTCAGTGACCTCCTACCAGACGAGGAATCAGGTCCGGAGGGTGATGGCTTGAAGAAGGCCCTGGACAAGAGACGGCAGGACTACCTAAAGTCTCAGAAGTCCCAACAGGCTGAGACGGAGAGACCATCCATGGACTCCTCTGCTAAGTCAGTTACAGCCAGCATGGAAATAATGGGACATTCAAGCTCCTCACTTGCCAGTGAGAAGAACTCCCTCAGCCAGAGACACAAGCAGAGGAGGATTTCCGTGCCAGCAAAGTTCTACAACCCACTGACTGTTTTCCACAAGAAGGCCACACCTGTCAAGCACGACACCCCGTCAACATCCTCATCAGAGGGTCTCTCTGCTGACTCCTCAGAGAAACTTTCTCTGAGTCATGCAGACATGGTGGGCAGATCAGTGAAAGAAAGTGGCCCACGGCATCCTATCATGGATAACAGATCATCACCCCTCCCTCAGCAAAGATCTCGGCGTCCTCGTATATCGTCCTCAAGACCCCTAGGGAAACTGTCGCCAGATGGTCACCGTCGAGGCGTAACCTTCCCAGAAACTAACACACCACCCAGGGAGTTTTTTCCCCGAGATGCAACACATCTGTCTTTGTCCAAGAGTGGCCATACAGATACTCGGAGAATGATGCCAGGTCGGAGCAATCCCACTATGACACGGTCACTGAGCGATGAGCAGATCAAAAACTCCCAATCTTGCACAGACGATGCCAACGACGACGTGTCCAGAAACAGTCAGAGTGTCTCAAGTCCAAGAAACCAATCATCTTTTCATGATAGTTCAAGACAGGACTCTCCTCCCTCCTACCAAGAGACCATGCATCGTCGGGCTCATCTGCAGCATCGGTCACACTCCCTGGACAAGGGGGACGCTCCCATGTTTGACAGCGAGGAGTCCCAGCCGCGGAGAAGACGAAGCGGTGCCCAGACCTGTAACATCTCACGATCACAGCCCCTCTGCCGTTTGCCCAGCTCGCCCTACTCAAAGTCTCCGACCAAGACCTCTCCCATCGTGGAGAGTGGCATCATTTTCCACATTTCTGACTCAGAGTCCAGCGACGAGGGCACTGTGGACATGGAGAGCCTACGCCAGTTCAGCACCAGCCCCAGCAGCTTGCAACTGAAGGAGGTTAAGCAAGTGCGCCGGACATCCAGCGACCGTTCAGCCAGAGCCGATGGGAGAACACAGTCATTTGCAAATGCGATGGTTGCTGGTGTCCAGAGGACACTAAGTGACAAGCGCACTGCCCCAAATGACGAGGAGTCTCCCCAAACCCGGCTCTTTTACGGTCAAGAGGCAACGCTGACTGCACAAAGTCCCCGCGCTCACCACAGTGCAACACCCAAGAGGACCCTGGAAGAAAGTACCACCAGGTCTGCGAGAAACTTCACCCGCTCCAGGAGCATGGAGGAAAACAAGCTCCACTCAAAGGCCACCAGGATTGATTCAGTTGACTCTGCAATCTCCACCAGCTCAGAGATGTCCCCTAGCAGCGGCCGCTCTTTCACAAATTCCCCCTTCTCATCCCAGGCCCAGTCGGCAGGAGCAGAACAAGGCAGCCTGTCACCCCAGGCCAAGAGCACCATGCAGGACTACTTCCTGAGCACGGACCCTGTCAACGGGATGGCCGTATGCAAGGAGACGGAGAAGGCCGTCACAAAGTCCCGGCAAGATTGGCGGCACCTCACAGCTAAGCGCCACTCCCTCAGCTTTTTGGATGAACTGGACCATGTAGAGTTTACAGAGGAATCTTATGTTTAATAGAGACATTACACAAAACGTCATACTTTCTCTGACAGAAGTTCAGACATCTTTGATATCTGTAATTGTACTTGCGGCAGTCAGTAATACCATGTTCTTGTCCAGTAATACCATGTTCTTATCCCTTTACAATATGCATCCATATGGCAGAATCTATCAAGAGCTGTGTAGTGGAAATGATCAAATAACTATCATGGATTCCATCTTGGCATAGTTCCCTGAAGTCCAAGTTGCACTGATACAAGAGTCAAAAGTAAGTGACACCACACTAAAAAATCACCCTGAGCATTTTCAAATGCTGATAGCTGATAATTTATTCAAAAACACTTTAAGCAGTCTGAGATTAACGGCATCCAATCTAACAAACTGTAAAGCTACTACTAAAACAAATCAACCCAGCTTCTCCGATCGAAGACCCTTTGGTCAGTTTTTGAAATGGAAGGCATCAGAGCGAAGTGCAGCATGAGCAAGTGAATGAAATGTTGACAGAACCCTGTCTGCATTGCACATGTAGCAAGTTAGATGTGCCTCAGTTTGGCATGGAATTCAGTCAGATGCTATTTTCAAGTTAATGATCGCACTTGTGTATTTTGTAGATTTACTATGTAAATACATTGTACTCTTTTTTAACAAATTCAACTCATAACCCCCAATTACTCTATACAATTGTATTCAGTTTTCTCTTTTAAAAAATTATTTAATTTTTTATTTGTAAAAATTTACTCAGCCTTGATAGAAAAAAAGATATTTTTTTCTGTAAATAGACTTCTTAATGTACACTACTTAATGAAATATAATTTTTAATAAATTTCAGCAGGCTGGAAGTGAAAAGGATTGGCAGGGGAACCTTTTCGTGTACTGTCACCTATTAGAGTCAGAAATGAAATCATTCTATTTACAGGTTCCTGTAATGCATGTAATGAAAGTTTATGTCAGAAGTAGAATAATTATTCACTAAACAAGGCTGCTTCATTGCTCACTGTGTTATATCAGCATAAATTTGTGGCAGAATGTCCTGAATTTAGAAATGGTACTTTGTAATAATTCAGACAAATCTAAATGTTAAGGCAAAAGGGGACCAATTTCATTACCCTTTGTATGTAAATGAGGTCATACTCAGATTAAAGCTGAGCACTAAAGTACTAGATTACAGTATCTTTTATCACCACCCTCATTCCCATGGGTGCGATCTTGCCGCACCATGTTGGTTCCCACCATGCCTTGCGCGATCTAACCCTGTTATTGTATAATTTAACACCAATTTTGACAGTCACGTGTTCTCCCTCGGCCTTATCCTGAGTCTTGGACCCAGAACCTTGCTACCGTTGATTGGAGGAATTCAAACCTTATTCAGTATTGATTTATTTATTTGGGGTGTTATAACCTTGATGCTTCCTACATGTAGCGGGAGTCAGTCTTGGGATCCGTGTCTGCACAGAACTAGCCTGGGCCGCAACACAGATTGTGTATAGGTTGGCTGGTTACTGTATAGTTTGTGTCCTTCCTGCATGATGTATATAACCCAGTCGTTTGATTAATACAGCAGTTTAAGCCTGCCCTCCCCCATTTTCCCTTTAAGCCACGCTCTCCCCCCTACCCTTTTAAATCTTAATTCCAGCAGTGCTTGCCATTAAGTGATGTTATATTTACTTTTTATAGCCAGATTTTATTCCAAAACGGTCTGCTCCCTTTCAGATGGAAGCAAATTTGACCATTCAAAAGTTCATGCGAATATCCAGGAAGTTAAAGAAAAGGGTTTCGTTTTAGACCTCATGAGATGTCACAACAGAAACTGTTTATATCACTGCAGTTCGGTGGGGCTAGTATGCGTCCTATTTGTGGAATCCTTTTGCGCTCGTGTGTATGTACGTGAGCATTCTCAGTTGTTATTATTACAGGTGCCATTGTTTTAAATGCACCTAGTAATATACATAGACACAGTAATTTATTTGAGATAATTCTATGTACATGTAAAATGTATCTTCTTAGCCAAAGATGTAGCATACACGATGTACATTATGTACTTTTTATTCTATATCCTAGGTTAAAGTCTCTTTTAAAGTGATAGCTTTTTCTAAGTATCCGTCTCTCAGAGTTCAGCAATGTAGGTTAGCTTATGTTGCGGGTAGTTTCCTCTGAACTTCACAGATCCTTTTCTGAGCTTATTGTGGAGTCACCATTCGTACGTTTCCTTTTCAAGACCATACGTGTAATTTCATTCTGAAGAGCATCACCGGTCTGCTTGCTGTCTTTTCTCCATATACATGTACTCGTTATACTTGACATTGCGGTCATTCCGAATGAAATAATAAATCTGTTATGTTTTGTGAGTTTTGCTGAACATGTCTTTGCATGTTTACTTTCTTTTCATTTGTTTTTGCTTTCTATTTCTGTGATATCCTTTGTTGTTGTTTTGTTGTTTTTTTTTTTTTTGCAAGTGTATGTGGGCGTGGTAAGGGGGACATTTGCCCCTCTGAAAGAAAAAAAAAAGAAAACCTAATTCAGATAGAGCGAAAGAAATCCAGAAAGAGATGAAAGGGGGTGAAAGACGCCATGTTTAAAAATAACTCAAAAACCCTCTTCAACTGTTAATGGTTGAACAGTTATTTGTTAATGAGTGTTTTAATTCCCCCCCCCTAAAAGAGTGATTCACGTGGAACAAATCCGTAGTAACTAAATCAATAATGGAATACGTAGCCATTACACATACACACAAGTAGTGTAAAAAGTAAGCGAGAAAACAATAAGTATCGTTTATTTGCCTAGCATTCCCCCTTACTTCCTGAACATACGAAACTCACGACATCAAAAGATTATATGAACTTTCTCTTTCTCTTTGACTCATTGATAGGGCGTGATTGTTTTAAGTTGTGAGGTTTGAACGGGAAGCGATATTATGTGTATTGGAAATCGTCTGTATATTATATCATCTGAGTGTTTGAAGAAATGTAATCGATTCGCTTTCTTTTACCATTCCAATGTACGCTGATTAAGACCACAACGTTTTGAGTTTCATTTCAATCGGTTTGAAGGACGGTGTGTTAAAAATCTTGCCTATACATGTACATGTTTTCATTACATGCGCAAATTAGCAAGCCATCAAGCAAAGTAGCTGTTGCGCAGCCTAGACTGTGGTGAAAACTTGTGTGGATGCCGATTGTGCCAATTTGACACTAACTTAACATCACGGGTTTTGTAGTGTGAGGGGATAAGAAGAATCGTAGAATACGGGAGCTAGATCCAGCAGAGAGAACAGAGACAGCCTCAACTTCCAGGTCGGTTCATTGGGTCCCTCCATGGTTCAATAGAGAGAAGATTTAGATCTAAAACTGTTCTTTTTGTATACTAGCGCTATTTTAACTTTACGTTTCCTCAAAAAAGCTAAGATAGATTGTCTTGCTACAAGGGCAGAATTTTTTGTTTTTTTTTTTCTCGAATAGCCCAGTTGCCTGATTTATTCATGCGTCCACTTCCTTCTTGTGTTGTTATTTCTATAATTAAATTTCCTTTTAAAGTTAAATATATACGCGTGCTTTCCCTTTTCGTTTTTATGGCACTAAAGGTCACACGTCTCAACTGGCAGGAGTAAAGTTTGTTTCACTTCCCGATAAAAGTGGCTTGATTGATTTTTCCATGAGTTGTGTTTGTGAGCTTCGTAGTCCTGTTGCTCTGTCACTGCAATAACAACTGGAAGGGCACGGATCTGTCAGCAAGGTAAGATTCAATCTTGGAATATTTTATTTACAAGCAATGGGGATACAATGTCGACTCTGTAATCCCAAGCTTGCCTAGAAAAATGTAAGGAAAGCATCAAGGAAAACTCAAGTTTTGCGGCATTACGTATTTCGTGTGATAATTCATTCTGTTCGAACCATTACTGTCAGTATCAATAGATAATGATGGCACTAAACGTCGATTTGAAGGAGGCTGTTTTCAGACATTTAAAAGAAAATAGTTGTACATGTAAAAACGTAGGAATATCGAAGTACGTTTGTTTCTTGTTTTTACCGGTACAGGACTGCTGTCAGCATAAAACCGTCAGGGTTTGCGCGACCTATGCTTAAGCTGTGACCGGACAGGGGGCATTTTTTCCCTATCAGTGATACACCCACAAGGCCAAAACCCTTTATTAAAATTAACATCTCCGCGACGCAAAGTACATCTTAACAATAGTTACGCAGTACCCGCGGCTACACCTGACTCAGACAATGGAGCTATTAAACACAAGGAGTCAGCACATAACAGTGATCAAAAGGGTCAGTGATGGCCACCGTCAGTACAGCACGTGCTGCAAGGACAAAACAAATTCCGCGCCGCTTATAGGCTACAAGAAATCCTCGGAGTTACATTTGCAAAGGATCGTGGGTACCGCGCATGCATGTCCGTAACACTTCTGCATGTTCAACATGACCGCCTCGAGACGGAAACCATGGTCATCTGAGACTTAAATTTCGACAATTTTAGTGATTGTTCTGATATTCCAATGACAATGAAAGTCTGGTTACGTCTTTACATGCCCAAAACGTCCCTCTTAACAATAAACAGAATTACTAACTAATACAAATTCTCCAAAAAAATAGGCACAAGAAAAGTGAGAGAATGTAGTTGGTCCAGAGGAAAATAAAAAACACACAAAAACATGGGAGGATTCGTTGTCCTTTCTGTCATTGTCCACAACTGTCTCGGCATGAAAGCTCACCATGTTGTCAAATGCATCCCTGCGGCATGTTTCCACCTTCTTTTAACCGTAGGAACCACTAGGGTTGCGACTTATGATATAAATATCGCAGTTCATATTTTGGGTATTTGTTCTCTACCGCCAGAAACGCAAAATGTCATAGGCTGACTTTAGAAACGTCTGACTTTTGCCAAATAACCACCGTTGATTTGTAATTTTCGAGCGCATCTGCAAAGATCATGCACTCGCTGACTCCGGAGGACTACTGAGGAGAACTGCGCATTTCTTCTTCGTGCATCTTTTCCATCATTTATTTACTCCAGTATGCCGCAGCGAAACATGGCGAGTCTGTGGGTTACCAGCTACTTGGCGGTGGCGATCCCTGTGTACAAAGAATGTCTAGGGACTTCAACAATGGAGCTGGTAACCGCGCTTTGTCTACGGAGCCGACAGGAGCAGTTAATCGGAGTACGGTCTGTAGGGACTTCGTTCTAACTCCTTGTGATTGATAGCTCCATGCTCGGACCGAACAACCAACTCTAGCAAGCTCGGTGGTCGAGTGGTTAAGACGTCTGCACTAATGAGCAGGCGGTCGTGGGTTCGAGTCCCACCCAAATGAGCTTGAGATTTTTTTTCTCGGACAAGCACTGAGTATACAGTGTTTATAAAAAATATACGTGGAGTAAGGGCAAAACCCTTAATTATTGAAAGATGCAACCATACTTAGAGAAAATTGCCTGAGTTACCCGACAAAGATGAAAGCAATAAACCACCATGTCGATGTCCTGTTGGAAAGGTAGAGGCCATCATATGATGCCGACTGTGGGAAATTTGTCCATCACACTATTGTTTCAGAATGGTAGAGAAAACTTTTTAAACCGAACTCCTTGCGTGTGGGAATGAGCCACTTTAAACCACTAAACGTATACCAGTGCACCTCTACCAATTTTTTCACTTAACATTGCAGTTTTGTTTCAGAGTTTTGGTCTTTAAATTTAGAAAAATTGTACGAAAAGTACACCGCATAGAGGTCTCATGTATGACGGGTCATTAAACAGAAAATGCATCTGATTAGTAGCAAGTTATTCCAGTAGATTTTGAAACAATGTATCAACGAATTATTTTTCAGACTCTACAGGTATTGATTTGACAAGTCCGAGATGACGCGTTTTCTGCTACTCAGCCTGACGTGGAATCTTTACAACGTTGTAATGGCAGTAAACACGAATACGCCCATTGCGACCTCTGCGATGGCCAATCAGTGAGTTTTCAACTAATCGTTCTGCTGTCAAGTCACTGTAGTAAATCGTTGAACTCATTGAACTGGAAATACAAGATACAGTTTCCTTGCAGAAAATGGTTTATTGTTAGTCTTGAGGGAGACCAGTCTTCCCAACCAACTTAAATGTGGGAACTTTACCACCTTAATCCTCCACAGTGACGATTATAGTCTTTATTCAAGTCGGGATCCTCGGTGTGTTATGTAAAAATGCGACGCCGGCTGAACAATGCGACGCCGGATGGCACATATGGAACACCATAAAAAACTCGGTGTCAGAGCCAGAGTAAATTCCTCAGATCTGTCGAAGTATTAAGTTCGCGTCCGAACTCATTCGAATCAAAGAATCTCCATTTTTTCATCGTTGTCCCAGTTAGCCTTAAACCACGTCCCTCACACTATATCCAGCAAGGAATGAGACCGATGGCACTCCCCCCCCCCGTCTCCTGTCTTGCTTCATATGCCTCTTTACCAGGCAAGATATGGGACGAAGGGGTACCCCCCATAACTATTCAATCCCAATACGCATTGTAGACTCTTGTTACCTAACACATCCTCCCTAGAGGTCTGTAAAGAATTCCTGAGATTCCGATCAAACGATGACCAACACACAATATCTTACACCACCAGTGGCGTATTCCCCCCCCCCCGGCTTTTTGAGTATAGAGCTTTTGAATTTGCCCCCCCCCACACCAAACCCTGGATGCGCCGCTGCACACCACTATTCTCCAATGTGTGGCCTACAGAACAAAAATGTGTGTACCAATTTGTCCATTGTCCAGCTTTGCCTAGCAATTGTGACAACAAAAGGTTTACTCCTTCAATGTGGCGCACAACTGTCTTTTTTGTTTGTTCAACTGCATGGTGCACGCATATCAAGTCACAGTGACATGCAGTCGTCCCCATGTGGATCGAAGGGCGCACACACTTGTCTTCCTTACCTTGTGAGTCCAAATGGATTTATATGTCTGTTTTATGCTGTGGAAATATGCTGGATGCGAGTTGTGAATCGATATGACTCGCACAGAGTCATACGAAGGCCTCTTACACGACAAACTTGCAAGTTTGGTAAACAGCTAATTTGGAACCACAGTTCACTCTCTTCTCTGAACAAGGAATCGATTGAAAATACGTGTATTTTGAATGTCATTTGGGAAGCATTGATAAAGGTAAGTTTCCAAACGATTAATCTTTGGTGCAGAGTTATACGCTGTGCGCGAATTGTCATCGTTATAGTTAAATTAAAAATGTTAATTTTAAGAAAGGAGTTAAATTCAGGTTAAACTGAAAATAAATCGGCTTAGTGCAATTTTTAAACAGATAACACGAACTGCAGACAAATGAAAAAATATATGTCACAGACAATATCTAAAGATTAAGTAAAAATGACGAAAAATCATGAAATAAAGATAAAGGAAGCAGGATAAAGGAAGGAATATCTATCAAAATGAACAAGACATTACAAGCGTAAATCTAAGTGAAATGAAAGGAATGTATTTCACTTTAAATGTAGGTCTGAAAAATGTTTTTGCAGAAAATCGAAAAGTTTATTGAGAACGTCATCTCGTAGAGAACGCCAAGAATGGTGTACTCGTTAAAAACGTTTCTCATGGTGTTCGACGTAATAATTCAGTGTAACAAATATGCATGAGTTCTGTGCCTCTTTAGTCAATTTTGATCTATCAGATTTCAAGGAAGAACAGCCAATGCTTTTGGACGAGGATGATGTCACAACAGTGGTAAAAGAAGTGGCAGGAGCACTTAGTCTGGTAACAGAAGCATTTGCATGAATCAGCAGTTCGGGCACACCAACACGTGCACACTTCATGTAGTTTTCATCACGGCCATACGCAAATTTAAATAGGCACGAGTATCGAGTACACTTTAATGCTGAACTGGTTCATTATAAGACACATAAATAATTCGCAATTTTTTAAGTTTTTAACACACTGTTTAAAGAGGCAAACTAATGATGTTCATTCATCTTAATAACAATTCCGTGTCGAAACAAAATGTGGGGGTTACTATTTTTCACTTGAAAATTGTGGAAGTGGTTAAGGGCAAAAAGTGGTATCGACAGTTAGCAAAATTGACAAGTCTGGATAAGTTGCAAAGGTCTTGGGCAGTTATTATTTTTCCTCCTTTGGGCATGTTTTATATTTCTTCAGGGATCCAACTAATTCCACCACAACTGAGACCTCAACCACCGAAAACTCCACAAAGGAGGAGGTCACTGGGACATCCGAATCAGGTATTTCTCATCTAACCACGAACATGGGTCCAGAACCATTTTTATTTGTTTGTTGGTTTGTTGGGGTGTTTGTTTGTTTGTTTGTTTGTTTTTTCGGAGGGGCCATTTTTTCAGGGCCCCAAACAATTTGGAAATTATATCTCCTTTTACGGCCCTTCCAAAGGGAGAGGCTAATTATAGGCCTTTTTAAACGCTAAAAAAAATAGAGCATATATTTATGTATAGATAGAGAGAGAGGCCTACAGAGGGTATTTCCTCTTTAAAATTAAAACCCGGACATATACCTTTGCATAGTCCTCGCTCAGTGCATTGGTGTTCTTTCATTTTATGTGAAAGCATGTATCTAATAACTTTTGGAAGCTGAAAGACGTCATGATGCTGATCTTGTAAGTGACTCCTTTCCTTGCATATTGTAGCATTCGTGATGGATCCGATTCCTCACGACGACTGGGACCGAATAATGAGAACTGCGGTTTTCGCCGGGTTTTGGGTCGTAGTTGCCCTGGTGATCTTCGTCCTCATCCCCGGGATATCTATCGGTTTGGACCGGCTGTACTGCAGACGCAACGTGAATACCTACACCGTTAACCGAATGGATCGTATTGGGGTGGAGTTGCAAGAAGCATCGTAAGTGCCATATTACTTCCCTCAATTGCGCAGTGGCATCATTCCTGCTGGGAAAAAACGTGTCTCTTACGCACCTGTCAATTGTCACCCACTCTTTGTTATTTTTGACCGGCACAGCACGTTTTGCTTCATGGAACTCTCTGAGCTTACATCTTCTTGTCAAAACCGTTTTTTTCCATGGGAATGATTTAGAAAGAAAGGGTGGTTTGGTGACTGCACCCTGATCAACAAGATATAGATATAATTACTGTCGACTGATGGCGCAACACGAAGGATGACAACGTCCACTGAATGGCCGTAATTAATCCATCGCTTTGTCTTTCAGCCTCGTTTCCAACCTACTGGATTATACATTATTCGTTCCCTGGAAAATTTGTTGTTCCCCAAAAATAATTATATGGAAGTTCAAGGTGACCACCTACACTTTAGGCGGCTTGTTGGTCTACAGCCTTAGAACAATGGCCCTATAAGTCTGGGGCTAGTTGGTCCGTGTCAAAATGGTTTTCAACCTGTTTATGCTCAAACACAGAGTCGAACTCACTATTGACCATTTGTTCATTTCAAGATCACTTGGTGAAACTCATTAGTTAACTTTTACTATATATGTAGTTAACAACATGATGAGGTGTTTAAAACCCCAATAAAAATAATACAATTGTAACACGTAATAGGTGTTGATGCTGGGTGGTCCATTTGAGGAATGACGGGCAGCTATTATGAACTTGAACCAAGTGAGACTAGTTGGATCCCTAAAACTGAAGCTGTTACACAATAATACTAAGAACAACTTGGTGATAGAATTAATTTTAATTAAGTCAATTCCGAAAAAAATTTCTCTGTTAAAGTTAAATGTAATTTTTGTTTTATATAAGAGTTTTTGAATTGCAGTTTTATGATTTGATTGCTTTAACCTTGAGATCAGTTCTCTGGAAATAATTATATTGAGGGACTGAAATGATTTTGAGGGAACGAATATCTTGGGGAAACAAAATTTTCCAAAATATCCTCCTGCCTACGTTTTCTCCACCTGTCCCCTTACGAACTCCACAAAACGGAGAATATTTTACTCTTGTATTTTTTAGCATCCAGGTCATAATCCATAACACAGGAGTGATAAATATTAAATTGGTGTCTTTGCTTAGGATGTGGAGCCTCTTATCAATGAGCTTCCAATAGGATCTTCCCACAGTTCCACCTCTTTCCCTCCACAGCAAGAGCTTTTTTTTTCTTATGTATTTACAGAGAAGTGATGCTGGATGAACCTGAGAGGGAGGCCACACATCTCATGCTACCTGAGAGTACAGCATCAGTGTGTAGTAAGCACAATGAAACTAGTTTACCATTTTTTAATGGACGTTAAGAACAACTCATTGCCATTTGGCTAAAAAAGGCCTCACCAAATAAGTATGCCTTCAACGTGTGATATGCGAAATCATTTTCATGAGCATACAAAAGTTTACATGAAGGGGAAAAGGGTTGGAGGGTGTGTATGCTCATCAACAATAATTAGAAATATTGATAATGCTCTTCCTGACTGTAGGGAAATCATGATTTTTTTCTAGTCAGTTTGTACTCTCCAGATGGGGATGGGTGTCCCCAAAAAAGTGCTGTTTGTGAAAATGACCAAAAAAACAAAAATGACCCCTTTGTGGGAGCAGTGTATACCATCTGAGAATGCTGGGCGTTCCCAGCATAGCTTTGAAGACATTTTGCTTAAGTGAAGACAGTTGCACTGTTTCAGAACTGTTACAGAATCTTGAGAAAGATTCTGCTTGGATCGAAACGTCAAGCCCTCCATATTTTGAGATGTTACTAAACAAGTGTGTGCTCTTGTTGTTCCCAAATCCAGATCCTAGCCCTCCATCTCCAACCACTCCTGTGGAAATAGACCAGCATGACAGCATGTTCACTCACCAGGCCACAAAGCCTTTGGAGAATTCCTATGAAACAACCAACAAGGTTGGCTATACTTTGTTTTTCAACCTGTCAAATGAACAATTGTACAAGACATGTTTTAAAATCTGTGACCCACCAGCCACCTTCAAGTGCACACCATTCATACTTAGTGTTTAACATGATTTAATGATAGCTGCTCCCTTCCCCCCCCCCCAAAAAAAAAAATTACATCAAACCTCCCTGATCATTCGAAATCTTCCTGAAGGTTTTGGAGGATTATATGAGATTCTAGGTGTAGCTAAGGCACTGGTTTTGTGCCCCTTGTTTGTACCATTCATCTGCATGGTGGATTACGAAGATGTCTGGGGGCTTTCCCAATAAAAATGCATTGTTGAGTTCATTGCTGTTGAAGTGCCCTGGGCACAGCAACATTAGCCAACATAAGGTGTGGTGCTGATTCCATATTGGAATTGGTGCAGTTTATGTCTGTGAGTTCCTCCTCGCTTGCACCGGTCTGCTACGTGTAAAACTACATGTAAGTACATGCATGTAAAATTAAATCTGTTACCAAGTAATGGCTCGATCCTTCCACAGTACCGATATGTCCTGACCACTGCCATGAGGACATTCCATGGTTTGATCATTTTCAGAAAAAAAATGAATTTGGTTTTAATTGTAGTGCAGTGATATCATATACATGTACAGTTTGTGCACGGATATCAGTCCTAGTCCGAAATGGGATTTCAAAGCCATGACTACATCATGTTGCGATAAAATCTTTCTCAATGTTGGGGGTCCCTAAAACAGTCAGTTAGCAACACCGCCAGAGACAATATCTTTGGAAATATTCACAATTATGTGTCACACTGGCAGCATTATTCTGCAGTTAAAACCTCATCAAAAGGCCCAACTTCACCATTTTGGCCTTTGAGGGTGAATTGATTTCCTTTGCAACTCCTTCAAATAATGTTCATTTTTTATCTTTTGAACTCAAAAATGTCTATTTGGAGTTGGCACCTTCTTTCAATTAGGTATTCAATTTTACTTTCTTATTATGCTCAAACAACAAACAAAAAGTGGCAGAGTAAAGGAAGCTACCTTTTTTTGTAATTTTCACAAAGCTCGCTGCTGAAAGTGGGGAATCTGTGATTCACCAGCTGACCAATATGTCAGATGGTGAGTTAGCTTGGCTTGACCAGAATGAAGATCCACCTCCTTCAAGTCTGAGAGATAGATCCCTGTCTGCCGGGGCTGCTCCCGCGACACAAATACCAACGAATCTCAATCAGCAGTATGCCAAGGTTGCCAAACCATGGAGGGGTGAAGAGTGTCTTGTGGACTCCCCATCAAATGGGGGCCTGGCAAGTCAGCCCGAACTGCCAGACGTTCCAGCTAGTGATGGCTTGGAGCCCAGCAAAGATCCATGCAGTGTTCGTTTTATGATCCCAGAGGGTGATGATCAGGATGCAGTTAAGGAGGCTTCCTTGTGCCCTGAGGAGTGGAGAAACAAATCTTACCTCCACTCTCCATCTGCATCCAGCAAAGCACCAATCCACATATGGAAGCCTCCGACTAAACAAGTTCACGAAACCCCCTCCGAAAAACATTTCTCCCATGTCCACATTTATGAGGAACTGGGAGATGTCACACGTAAGGAGAGGCCCCCTGGTGTCCGCACTTCAGTCTCGGAGAGTGACCTCGTACATTCGTCCGGTTGCAAGATAACCTTCCCCCAGTATTTTGAGGTGGACGACTTCACTGTGACCAGGACAGATTCTGGTGGAGTCCATCCCTTGACCCTCAAGTCTGACAAGAGCACTCCACAGAGCCCACTTCCCCACTCCATAACACTGCTCACGCAAGAGGATGATGCGTCATCAGACGAGGACATAAACCGGAGAGGGAATGATAGTGACCAGTGCGTGATCAAAGTTCGCACACAGAAGGGGCTCATGGCCCACCCTCTCTCAGCCCAGCACCGGCTGTCTGATGGGGCACTGGAGAGAGCTCCCTCTGTAATCCCACACCAGTTTTCCTCCCTCCAGAGGCACAACGTAGCACCACAAGCCAGTAACCAGCATGTAGCAGCCTACTACTCCAAGCTGAACAGGTTCAGGCCTCCCCATCAGGCCCTTCTTCCGGTCTCAGGCAACATATACCACAAGCTCATTCCCACCGTAGATCCTCATGACCACTGGGAAGGGACTCAGGGTGGAGATACTAGCCTCATGGAAACAAGCCTCTGAGGTTAAGAATTTTTAGAAATTGTTTTGAAGGCCCCGATGACGAAATGAACATTTTCATTCTTTTCTGCATCCGATTTCCCTTCACCACATCATTTTAATTTGGTTCCAAGTTGACTTGGGCCATTTGAGTGTGGCTCTGTTGTGTCTGCTGGCAGCAAAGCTGTACAACATGTGAATGCACTAAAACTACTAGCGCCACATACATGTAGACAAAGATGACAAACATGGGGGGGTGAATGGTTGTGTATGCACAGACATGTCAGAGTAAATTGATTCTTTTCTGTGTAACTTGTTTTTGAACATTTCCAGTTTGTATGATAATCACATTAGGTGATTTAGAATGTGAACATAGCCTACTTCAGCTCAAGTGACAATGCTGGACAGACTGAGACATTTGAGAACAATGGGATATTATTTCATGTCTTCTAGAGGCCAGAGGCAGCCTTGTTCTCTAATTCAAGTCAATACATCCCTGGCTGTTGGTGCAGAAAATGGAGGAATGTCTCAATACTATAATGGCCCCAAAAGCAAACAGTTTGAAATTTATCAACACCTGAAAATTCTTTTCCTTTCAATGACAACCAAAACAACACTTCTACAAGAACACATAATCAAATTTAACCTGACGGGTGTGAATTTTTGAAATGACTTACTTTTATAATTTAAGTAACTTATATTTCTAACAGGACGTACATGTACATTAAACAGAATAAGCCTTTCTTCTGTTAAACACTGACCGCCATTTTTTATGGACATCCAAGGTTTTCAGGAAATACATTCTTGGCATGAATTTCTGCCTCAAATACCCATTTGGCATTACTGGTGTTATAAGTGGAGGTATTTTCGTTTAGCACTCAATAACAGCATTTACTACATGTAGTTAATATTTGAATATTTGCATAAGGGTCTTTAATAGTTTATAAATTATTCTGGTGGTGTTTTTGTATAAATACAGCCAGCCATAAAAATGGCACTTGTTGCATGTATGTAGCATAAGAAAGGTTTATATCACTATACATATATATTGCTACAAGGTTTCATGCTTTACATAAAGTTTTTAGACTTGGTCGAGAAGCTCTTTCTAAATAGTTTTAAATTACAATTAATTTAAAATGATTTTAAAAACAACTATTTTCTTACTCCTATTTCCTGGGCTTCAAAACAAATAAGCTTTTTTGATTAACATAAATACATGTACATTTCAAGATAGTGGCATCACTCCAAGCACTAATGCAATGTAGCACAGGAATACACATATGTGTAAGTCTTTTTTCAGGGCCACTTTCGTTGCCGGCTGGTGTTTTGTTGACCGTTTCAGACTGGCCACACCATGTGATGGGCTCTCGACCAATGGGAATAGGTAAGCTGTCATAGATATTAAACACTACAAATCCTCCAATGAATGCTTCAATAGAAATAATGGAACCATGTAGTGGTATTGCCGCATATTTCTAAAAAAAATAAGGAAATATACAATTGATCCCTGTAAGAGAGACATTTAAAATTTGGGGGTTTAGCACACTTAATCCTTTAGTTGCTGTTTTTCAATCCAAAGAAACAGAAACCTGTACAAGAAATCCTTCATCTACACAGTGGGATATACATGTATTTATATTGCGTGCATTGTGTTGTGGTTTCCTATGACATATAAAAAAATATAGCAGATGGGAGGGTAATTTTTGTTTTTGAGTTGGTTCTTGATGTTTGTTCGGGACGAAAGTCAATTGTTTTTTATTTGCATACTGATTTCTAACATTACATATCAATTTTTGCCCTTTTACTGACATCGCAGTATATTCAATATGTACAGCACATGTAAGAGCAAAGCCTGAATACATACATGTACATGTATGTAAACTTAACATCTCAGAAGCCAAGAAAATTTAGTATCATTTGTACCAGTTAACAGCTGACAAAGTCGTATTTGGTAGTGTACATAACATGTACATATTCATATAACATATCCTACCAGCAGATTCACTGGTTGAGTAGTTACAGAATGTCTATATTCAGAAAACAGATGGTGGTGGGTAAATAAAAACTCCCTAGAGCAAGCCAATATTTTGAGCCAACCGGCTTTAAAAAATAAATATCAAACTAGAGATCTACAAGTACATGTATGTCTGTTTGAGAACAGAACATAGGGCTTTTTCTAAACTTGTGCAGGAAAGAAAAAAAATTAGGCAAGGGACTGGCCCATTTTTGTTGCAATTTTTTCTAATAAACAACGACACAGTTCCTATGTGATTTTCTTTTTAAGTGGAAACACAGGTTGTGTGTTTGTTGGGTCTCACAACCACAAAGTGTGCAACAGGGGTGTTCATTTATCACTGTCAAGGAAATGTTATCGAGTTACACCTCCAAATTACTCTCACACTCACTCCAGGAGCTTGAAGAAATGTTGCATGGCACCAGACTATAAGCCATGGAGTCATCATCAGGTCTCAGTCAGGTCATAGTAACTCTTATGGTTTGAACTACATGCAGTTTGTGTATATGTGTGTATTTTACGATACAAGTGCTTCATTGTACATGATTGAATGTGAACAGTTGTATACCAGTAGTCCTGAGATGTAACATATTGATAGCACGGTGGCATTTGTCAACTTCATAGCACATTATGTACATACATGTACAAACAGCACAAAATGTAAACATTGATAAAGAGTTTACACATGTACAATTTCAGAGGTTAGGTTAGATTAATTGAAAATGAATGCGCATGCAGGATTGTGAAAACAAAAACTATGTTACCTCGACTAGATTCTCTAATGTGTATTTCTCCTGTGAACTTTCTATATTATTTTTTGTATATTTGCATTCTAATACATATAACTCAACCTCCAGGATGTTTAAACGAGTTGAAACTTGATGTTATAGACAATTTGGCAAGGTCAAACGCATGTATGTATGTGTATAAAAATGTTCAGGGTTTTTGTATGAAAACCAAACTGCAATGAAGAAATGCACCTTTTTAACAATTTCAGTTAAATCTCGTGATCAGACTTGAAAGTGTCACAAGCTCACTATTAATTTCCTGTGTTTACGGAGGCATGGCTCTTCATCGCCCTAAGCGAATATGAATGAAATAAAAAGCATCATCAAGCCACGAGTGTCCTCTTTAAAAACAAATAAATACCACCAGTGGTCACTATGTTTAAAATAGACAAAATCTGTTAGCACAATCTTCAAAGGGACACGCTGTACATTTCCACATAACCTTCAGTCCTTAATCCTGATTTTTTTGGTCAACCCATGGCAACAAATCATGCAATATATCTATTAGCCACAGTTGATGTCATACTCCATGTGTTATGCAGCTCCAAGGGTAAGTACATGTACATACGTATATTGTGCCCCTAGTGTGACACAATTCAGAGTTGTATGATTCACTGCGAGTGAGACAGGTTTGCTTGATTAATGATGTGCAATTTTACAAGAGTGAATCCCACACATCACTTGGCCTTCAGCCTTGTCTTATGCGGGACACACACATACTATGTGTTCAAAGTTATATATCTACACTACTGTCCTGAGAAAATGATTCAAGAGCACAAAATGCGAGTGATCTTAAAAGACACGGTTAATACTGAAGCATGACATCATCTGAACCAGGAAGTATAGTGCAAACGAGTGGAGTAGGCACGTGTAGAAGTTCAGGCTCTGGTTCTAACGTTAATGCCTTTTTACACACATAACTGTGCATGTGACGTACATTCACTTTGGTACTCTATACATTCCAGAAAGAGTAAAAAAACTAACATTTGAGTAAAATGATTCCAATGCTCTTTTTCCCATGTCAGAGGCATGAGGCATTGGACACGGCTGGAACTTTGTTCTTTATGCCCAGAATATAAGCTGAATCGTAGAACAGGAATACCTTTCCATCCCGGACAGTCACAAGGCTCTTCAAATAATCACGGAACTCCTTCAGCACAGCCGGGGGGACGCTCTGACGGAAGTGAAGGACGTTGGAAAGGAAGTCCAGCACCAGGCTGCCCTCGTCAGATGTGTCATCGAAGCAGTCAGTGATGTCAAAGTCGCGCTGGTCATCAGGCTGGTTGCAGATGACGTATGGGATGTTGTGCTTCTTGAAGAAGGTGCAGACATGTTCAGTGCAAAAGAGGGGGTTCACTTCATCTTGAGCAAACTGGAATTGCTTCTCAATCTTTATCATGTCACAGTTCTCTGCAAAAGCAAACAAAACTTTGTGGTCTTCTTCCAAAGCAGGGATGAGATTGAAAGAAAATGAAATATCTACGAAATAATCACATGAGGTTTTGAGGTCCCACAGCAGTGTAGAGTCTATGGTAAAAATTAGTGTTTCCCAACATGTACAGTGTACATGAAAATATGTTATTATGCCTTAAAAACCCATTTCTTATGCTTATCAACTGTTATCCCTAAAAACACCACAATGATAAACACAAGATTTTCCGGATTTCAAAAGAGATCATTGAAAAATCTCAAAATCAGGAAAATCTGATGAAAAACCCTGAAACCAGGGAAAAAGGTATCAATATGTGTGCCTATAACCATTCAGCACTGATGGATAAGTGCAACCCACATTTTTCATGTTCATGTCGTACATGTACGTGTATATTCGCAGTACATGGGTAACATGTAGACACATTGTAAGTGGGCCTTCATCATGTTAACCACTTCGTGCTGGGTTTCCCAGTACCGAAGACCTTAGGTTTATACACATAGCCAGGGGTGCCCAATATCGGACAAAGGAGCTGGGCCTTGTAACAAAAGACCGTGCTCTGAGCAAAAGACCGAGCTGCTGGGAATTGCCAACATTTTTTTCAGTTGTCAACAGCGGAGGTAATCTGTCATTGCTCTGAAACAGTATTTGTGGCATTCAGGGAAAGCGGATTATCACCAGGGACAAAAGCGCTCCAGGAATTAATGACACAACACCGCTGCACACTAATAAGGCCGCATTTGAAAAGATGCCAGCAGTGCACTTGGCCAATTTCAGGAACAAAGGAAATTACACAACACCGCACAATCCGGGCTCTCTTTACAAGGTGGCAGGCCTGGCTAAAATACTCAGGTGTCAACAGATGTTGCCTTTCAGATTAGAGTAGAAACAGACAGTCATTTGTGCGGGTGTAAATGTCCAGTAAGTGAAGTCATGAATTTTTGAATATCTTGAAAATCCCCTGCAAACTCGTCATGCAAATTCTTGTTGAACCGGGCAGCATATGGTTAAAGGGGACAATGTCTTCTACGAGGCAAATTAGGAGCAAATTCTGAAGGCATTTGTCTTCCCAAACCACATTTTGGTCCCCATGACTACTGACAAGTTTGTTTGTACACATTGCCTTCAGGCTGCAGTGATTTGGTTTTATGCACACAGTGAAGGTCTGACTTGTCTTTGGAAGGTAGAAGTTTTAAATTCCCTGTGCCATGTCCAGTTGTTATAGCAAAAGTAACTACACAGCATTGTCACAGCCTCAAGAGACAAAGGCACTATGAAATGTACAAATACTGTTACACAGTGACACAAGATTCAACATTTACGGTGGCCCAATGGAGTTATGAAACTGGCAGTGATCTCATTTGAAAACAAGCAGTTCTGCAAAAGAGCTGTTGCTATATTTCATCAATAAGTGATTGACCTGCTTTTGGACCACATACCGGTTTCCATTCCAACAAGCAGGATTCCTCCTGGCTCTAGTCTGCTGTAAAGATATGCCAGGGCGCCATCTAAATCTGGCTCGTAGTACAGGCAGTACAGTGCACTTATGAAATGAAACTTAGTTTTATCCCAAGACATCTCACTGTGGTGCTGGTACTCTCCGAGCGTCTGCAGGTGCCAGTCGTACTTGACCCCATCCAACTCTGCCGCCTTTGCCTTGATGAGGTCCTTATACATGTCCACTTGGGTCTGGCTGGGCTCCACAACAGTGTTGTGGATGCTGGGATGCTTAGTGAGAATATGGGACAAGAGCTGGTACTCAACGGCTCCTTTTCAAAAAGTCAGAGGACAGTGTTAGGTGCAAGAAAATAACAACTACATTTCGAAAGCAAAAGCTACGAAGCTATATTTGTCATTTTAAAAATTGTATTTAAGTGGTTTGGGTGCTTTTTCTCTATTCTTCCTTTTTCATTTCATTTTGTGGCAATTGCCATTACTGACTTTTGATCTGATTTCAGCAAATTCTTGGAGGGGGGGTTTGATCCTTTGGTGATCTGTCTCGTCAAAGGTGCAGGCGAGAGTCCATTAATTTGCATTGCCAAATTGCATTACCTCCAATCACATTAATTTGTTTCAAATGAGAAACAAACTTTGCTAAGAGGTAAAAGAACCAGTATCTACCTTCCCCACTTCCGACACCGAGGAGCCTGAGAGATTCCCCCTCTAGCAAAGTAACATCCAGCTTGTCAAGCACCTGATGTGCCAGATACCTGTTGACCCACTTCATGTAGTCCGGGAGCCAGGCCACACGCTTCTCATACTGCTGGGTGCACAGAATGTAGTGCTCCACATCATTGCAGAGACTTTGCAGCTGCCGTGCATCGAAATTTTCCATCTTGTCTTTCTCTATTGGCTCTGCATAATGGATGGCAAAGTCCAGGGCATGAGAGTTCATGCACACACACAGCTACACGTAGCTGACCCATGCTAACCTATCTAGTATGTGAACATGAGGACCACATCATCATACGTGATCATGTAGGTTGTGCAAATCCTTACTTGAAGCCACGTCCAGCAGGGGCGGATCTAGGATTTTCCCAAAGGGGGGATGTGAACGGAAACTGCAATGTTGAAATGCTCATGGGCTTTTACTGCATGGTGTTCAGGGCATTTTTGGATTTTAGGTATTCCATGATGCAATTTCAGGCAGAATGGCCCCTCTTTTTTCTTCCCTTTCTTCTCTCTCGTTTTCTTCTTGTTTTCTTTATTCATTTATTAGTGAAAAGGGGAGGGGGTGTGCATCCCACACCCCCCCCCACATCTGCCCCTGTCCACACAAGGTTAACCAATCTTTCTGAAAAAAAAATGTTGGCAGGCATTTTGGGGGTCGGGGTAAATCTGCATGCAGAAGGGCAACAGTCAAGGAATGAACCATCTACAAATATCAAGCTTAACTAATATTTAACAGAGTGTGCACAGTCAGTGCAAAAAACAGTTTTGTTTTGTTTCCTTCACTACAGCCAAACACAGGAATGTTCATACCGTGTGAGAGTTTAGGTACACTAATTTGTCCCCCGTAAAGCCATGAAACCAGCTGTACTTGCAGGCGTACATGTACGTAGGCCTACCCCCCCCCCATCACAAAATGAAAGAAAAAAATTAAGCGACTGTCTTACCATCTAGTAGTAGTATCAGCAATAAGCAGATACTGAGATAAGCCTACAGCTGCAGCAGTTTCCACTTCACTGGCAATGTATGGACAATGGTACTGATTTTAACGACCCTCACCACAGGTATGTAAAACTACAGGTGTAGCCTTCAGGCCAAGCCCACCGCCACACGTGTCCGATCAAACCTACCTTGAACCTACGTAGCCCTGCCTACGCGATTGTCAGTTGTGTACTCATGGTAGTGGCTTTGTGAATGTGATTTATGCCTCTTTACACTCATGCATACTGAATCTAAGGCTGCGCAACGGACCATACCATTGATTCTAATATACAATCAGGGTCAGCTGCGCTGGCCGCGCCGGCAATTGACCTCCAAGTAAGGACAGGAACCTCTTTTGGGAAATAATGGCTGCTTGTGCACAAGCCCAGTAATACAATATGAGTATCGCTTCACGTACGAATATGAGGGCGTAGCTAGGGCGTTATTTATATGCGCACTGCTGCACAACGTGCGCAGCATAGATGTATGAAGCTATACAGTGTATACATGTATATCAAAGATAGTAATAAGTTAGTACATGTACATGCATTCTGCAGAAGCCAGATCACAGAAAGCTAGCTAGCTGTACGGATCGGGCACATGATTTGCACAGCACTATGTGTGGTGTTCCATATGTGCCATCCGGCGTCGCATTTTTCAGCCGGCGTCGCATTTTTCGACGGGCGTCGCATTTTTCAACTGGCGTCGCATTTTTCAGCCGGCGTCGCATTTTTCGACCGGCGTCGCATTTTTCAACCGGCGTCGCATTTTTCAACCGGCGTCGCACATTTCGACGGGCGTCGCATTTTTCAACCGGCGTCGCATTTTTCAACCGGCGTCGCATTTTTCGACGGGTGTCGCATTTTTCAACCGGCGTCGCATTTTTCAACCGGCGCCGCATTTTTCAGCCGGCGTCGCATTTTTCAACCGGCGTCGCACTTTTTAACCGGCGTCGCATTTTTTTGACGGGCGTCGCATTTGTGGAAGAAAAGTATTAACTTTGACCTCCAGACAGCCCATTTGAAGCCAGCTATTGGACGGAGAGACCCCTGCCTTTGTGTTGGTCATTGTTTAATCGGAATCTCAGAAATTCTTTACAGACTTCTAGGGGGGATGTGTTAGGTAACAATAGTCTGGAGTGTGTATACGGATTAGACAGGTAAGGGGGTACCCCTCCGTCCCATACCTTGCCTGGTATAACACAGCCTGTAGCCTACATGCTGTAGCCTCCGACCTGAGCAGAAATGTATACGTTGCTACAACCACAACATGCTTTCAACAATGACGGCAATGACACTATCCTACAACGAGACCGATTGGTTCGTCATTACTTTGAAGCAGGCTACAGCTACGATGAGGTTCTTTCAATTTTGGTCCTTCGTCATCAAGTAACCATCAGGTATTGGCCAACTTTATTTGTATATGCTGACATGGATGACGTCAGTGTTGGCCTATAGCTGTAGTATTTGTGTACATGTACATGTACTAGTTAGACTTTGAACGGTTAGTATCGCTATCCTCCGGCCCATGCGTGGAAATAACACGTGTGCATTGTTTTATAGAGATGGATATGTTTTTATTCCTTGTACTGTCAGCCTGAGAACGCTGCACCGAATTCTCCGCAAATTGAATCTTAGGAGAAGAAGTCCTGACGACTTGACACGGAACAGGTTCCGAATAAGTTTGCGGGTAAGGATGACAGAACGTCTTGAAATACGGTAGCAGTGAGAAAAGAGACACTTTAGGTTGAAATCTCGCCTTACATTTCTTTTGTATGCAAGTTTCATTCAAGCAGTGGTTGTGTCAAGTACTTTCTTGATCCGCTATTATTGTACCAAATTAATTAAATATAACAATTTTACTTACTGAATATTCCTTTGTTGGGTTTCACTGCTCGTATGCCCTCAATCATAAAATCTGGTGCATGTCCTCTTCCACTTTTTGCACGGCAGTGGGTTGTAAGCAGGTTTTATGTAGAGTAATTTCTGTGTTCAAAAGTAGAGTTACATGATTCTATGTTACAGTGCTGTATTTCATATGCTAGAAGATGTTACGCATACAGTTGTGGTGGTTATCAACTGTAAATTAGTTTAATCCTACGAACGTTTCAGTTCCCGATGCTTTTGGAAATCCAAATAGGCCAACAAGATAATTGCTTTCTTATTTGTTTAACGACTTATTCTTCGTAGGCTGAATTACAAGGCAGTGGCCACAATCTGGGATGCCGGGCCATGGCAAGAAGAATGTTGTCACGCTATAGCATCATTGTTCCAAGGTAGACCGACAAGAATAAAACATTGTCAATTACTGACTCAATACGTTTCTCGTCTAGTTTCCATTTTTTTACTCTTGTTTTTAGACATCGTACAGTGTGGGATTTTTTTTGGTAGGAGCGTCGTCCTTGAAGGGCAACGCATGCTAGACCCTGAAGGGGTAGAACTACGTGGAAGACCTAGACTGAGGAGACGATCCCATGTCAATGAAGGCCCGAATTATGCAATCCACGTCGATCAGCATGACAAGCTAAAGGTTTATGGATTTGCTTTGCATGGAGCCATAGATGGGTAAGAACATTGCCAGTAGTCATTAGGGCTATTAAATTCAATGTTCATTTTTCCCCAGGAGATGAGACTTGATGCTCACTAGAAAAGTGGCAACCAATTATCTGTGTTTAGTTTTGAAATAGAAAAATACAAATTCAACCCGTCTTAGCAAAATTGTTCAAATTCAACAATCTCTATGTTAAAATACATGAGCATATCAAGTGTTATTTCATATATTGTATAAATTGTTATTTATTGTCAAACTGCGTCAACCATTTCATTCAAA